TTTCTTCCGTCATCTAAAAGTCATGCGACGACGTCTCCTTGCTTTCTGACTAGAAATCAGCAAGAAAGTCCCGTTTTCATGCAGGATAATGCACCAGTTCATGACAGTCGAAGCACTCGAGCGTGATTCAGTTGTCACCAAACCGCTCTTTTGCCCTGGCCAGCGAGTAGCCCCGACTAAAACCCAATCGAGGATGTGAGGGGCTTCATGGTGCGTATGATCCATGAGAAGTCGGCCGAAAGCCTATTAAAATCTCTAATCGAACATGGGCAACCGTATTTTCCAACTTAATTGGAGAAATAGAGTTCCAATAGATTACTGGATCAAAATTTATTCATTTTATTGTACATTTGTTGTTGGAATATTCGATTTGTTCGGTGGAACTATCATTTTGCTGCGTTGTCAGAACGACCATTTTTGAAAAATTGACGAAAAAAAAAATTTTTTTCAAGTTAGTGTTTGTTGTTGGCATGCGAATTGGTATTGGTAATTACCACATTTTTGTATGGGGGCATTTTGGAAAACTTCGTGTAAGACGGGATTTTGTGAGATTCATGGGTGGAACTATGATTATGCTTCGCAGTGTAGCCCCCAGCCAAAAATATAGTTCCACCGCATATTTTCCGGCTGCATCTCATTTTTGTTCGGTGAAACTTCTCATCATTATGACTTCTCGCCTCTTCTAGGCTATGGCAAGTGGAACTTCATTTAATGGACCTCGAAAGAGGACACGGTATCGCAAAAAATACTGCAAAAAACTAGGTTTGAAATCGTCGAAATGCGCGCCGGATGCGGGCCGCACTCAACCATGCTACCAACAATTTTTCCAAAGGGACTTACAGATATTGATTGAAAAAGCTCTGGACGTCCTGCTTCGCTAAACTTGATCGCCGAAAAACCGCGTATCCTTCGGAAAGCATCCCAACCTGCGAGCTGCTCGTGTCACGCAAATTAAGATCGTCTTCGCCGGGCCTAGTGTTAAACGCGGGCCTGATACCAACTCGGAGCGAAGTCAATGGCTCTCAGGTAAAGCCACCCAAAGAACCTTGCGCCTTAATTCTCGAACCATCCAGTTTTTGAGGAATTTCACAGCGAAATTGATACATGGTCCATTATGGCCCACACTATGTGAATTCCTTGTAAGATTCCGGTTCCAATATACTTTCGCGGAATGTACCCGGTGCGAGAGGTGAGAGCTACATTACTCCTGCTTCTGCCGCTGAGGGTGGTCGTACTGTACCAGTGGTGGGGGGTCTAAACAAGGTGAGTTAATAACTATAGTAAACGGATCTTTTCACACTATTTCCAGAAAAAAATTTCAGAGAGTCCAAGAAGGTGTTGAAGGTTTTAGGTTGAAGGTGTTACCAGGGCACGCCCCGCTCCTGGGGAGAACTTTGGAAAATATGACTCCCATTCCCTTCTCTGATACGACCCCTCCCTCTTCCTCATCGTACCAACTATTTTCCTGAGACTTTCCCAACTTCCTACCCCATTTTCCAGATTTCAGAATTTCCGACAATTTTGTGGTTTTTCCTCCTAGAATTTCGTGTGAGGGGTGCAGAAGGTGGGGGGCAGGGGACTGCGAATAGTCAACAAACGAGGAAATTTTTCCATGTCCAAGTATAGGACCCCCTCATAGTTTCAGTGCGTGGAACAAGAAAAGCAGCTGCCAGAAAAAATTTGCTCAGACCGAATACGGCCCCCCACTGGTAATTCACCATCGTACGGCGTGGTCTGGGTGTTACGTATCGAAAGATGCAGGAAGATGAGGAATTTCTGTTCCCTTTTTTGAATCTCTAGGTTTCCTCCAATTGAAGGGTTTGAAGACTAGAATTTCCAGATCGCAGTTGGTGAATAGGTCTCGATACAGCACATAATTGGAAAAGTCGTCATGATTTCGAAACATTTGATAGCACTGAAACTTCTCTGAATCTGTTACGTCTCTTCTCTTACCTCATAAACGTAACACCTTTATCAAGATTTTTTGCTAAAAAGCTCCTTAGACACTGATGACACTAACCCCACGGGATCGGTGTTAATACCGATCACGGGTGTTTTGTCGGTGACGGCAGCGGCAGCGGTGAGAAACGTGCCGTCTCCACCAGCGGACACCACCAGGTCGGCCCATGGCACTGCGATCGGTAACGATTGACGAGTCACCAGCTGAGTAACGATATGTGCCTCTCTGGAATTCAAAGAAAAATGATCGATGACAACCAATGATCTCATAGCACAAAAATGAGGCGCAATTCGGCGACGGGGGGGGGGTGGCATTTTGCATTTTCGCTTTCACTAGTTCCGGTACAAGTCTCACTCTGGTGAAACCTGTGAACTCTTGTGAAGTTAGAGTGAGCTCGTAAAGCCTTCACGGTAAAACCTGTCGACGGCTCTCTGAATGGGTCGACACGTCGATAACGTGAAGTAGCAGAGGGGCGATATCCCTCCCCCTTCCCGTAGGCAAACTGCCCCCAAAATTATATGCTGGCCCTGGACTGATTGCAGATGGGGAAATGTAGTGCATAGTAGGCATGTCCAAGGGTATAAGGAGTATCGAGCCTTGCTCTTCCACAACAAACAGTCGCAGAGATCTCGAATAAAATTACAACTAAAACTTCACCACTTACTCAAGTCTGGTCAAAATCTCCATGACGGCAGCTTTCTGCTTTGCATCGCTTTCAAGCAACTCGTCCACGTCATATCCTTTATTTCGTAAATGCTGCAGAAGTTGAGCTGTCGTCTTGAGTGGATGTTTCTGCTTTTCCCAATCCAATCGGGTGGTCTTTCTCAGTACAACTGCAGTTCGAAAGTTCTAGAAGCAGAATACAAATATAGCGATCGATTTTTCGAGGTGGAAGTGGTGTAGTGACAAAAGGCCCTCTTACTACACGCGCGGTCCTGGTTTTGAACCCCAGGTCGATCTACTCAGGCCACTTAAGCCTTCTACCATCGGGGATAAATTGGTACCAGACTCGTCTGGGAGGATAAGAACACTCACTTGCACATCGGCTGGCCCCACATGTTTTTGTATAGGCCCCATCGCACTCAATAAGCGGCTACGATTCGGAGTGAAGTAAGACGCGTGCCGCATCCCGCAAAGGGGTCAACCAACTTCGAACACTTATCTTTTTATCTTTCACCGATGGTTTTTCGTAGCGATATTGATATGAAAGCGTCTAGAACCCTTATGTCGTGGTGAGGTGACAAAGGGTAGGGGGTAAGGGTGCTCGGTAGCATAGCACCTACAATGAATAAACAGCACTCAAATGGTGAACATTGGGTCGGTCCATAAGTGATGGCGTTTGTTTCCCGCTCAAAATATCGCACTGAAGAAGAGAAGTTTTGCCACTAAGTTTTATTCGTTTTGCAGAGAATTGCTTGCCCTCCACGACCTATTCTATTCTAGTGTATTCTATTATTAGGTTGTTCGGAAAGAAATGCGCGTTTATTTATTTCTCTCCTACTATAGAAGATTTTTTAAAAACAGTTAGAAAGAGATTTTTATTGCGCATCTTTTGATAATTTTCTGTCGTATGTCTACTTTGTTTTTTAAGAAAGCCCAGTTTGCAGTTCTAGAACAACTATGACTCTGACCAGTACAAGATAGGATAACGCTCGTATCAAATGGAAATCTTCCACGAACAACGCCATCCTACGCCCATTCCATGTAAAAGACACGCAAGACACGCACAAGTCTGTGCGTCATGCGAACTGTGCGAGTGCATTTTGGAAGCACCCAAGAAACGTCCGGGCGGCTGTCCTCTGTTTCCCGCGATCTAATGATGAAAGGGAAAGCAGCTGTTCCGTTCAGGGCCGAATGTGCGAGGCTCGGGTTGAGTTGAAGAACGTTCATGTTTACTTCGCGAAGAACTGCAGAGTTGCGCCCGAAGATTGTGGAAGAGTTGCCGTTGTTGGGTGGGAGGATACTTGAAAGAGTCAGTTGGAAACCCGCTGCAGAATGAGGGAAAACTTCGGCGAGTACTGTAGGGGGTTAGTCCCGGTTGGTTGACGGCTGGGCGAGCGGTGTGGTGGGATGAGTGCGCGGTAGCACAGAACTGGTGGTTCAAAAGGTGTTCTTGGGGTGCGAGTTGTGTGGGTTAGAGATTCAGCAGGTGGGCGGTGGGCACGAGAAGTTGAGTGTGCAACGTGAATAATGTTCGCGGGACCTTGCGGTGATTCTCCACATTCGCTACAAATGCCTCATTTTCCCTTAAAACTAAGCCTAAGACACAGCCGCCAACGCCAATCACCTTAAATGACCCAAATACGCTGAAAATTCTCCGAAGAGGGGTTCTAACATTTGCACACAAACATCACATTTTTTTTCCGCGCGAACACGGCTGGTATGTGCGTTATGGGTGCCTGGTCTGCGAGGTTGACGCCTGTGACACATGTCGCAAACGTTTTCGCTGCAAGCCGTTGTGATATTCGTGTTCGCCAGTTGGGCTACCCCCGTGTGCCCAAGTGCAAAATTTTGGCAGACTACCGCTAAAGACATTTTTGATGAAATGGCTAGTAGAAGGCCTCACGTTGAAGGAATGCGACAAAAGAGGGTAAGTATGTAGTGTCAACATCGATTCGTAAGCCTCTTCCTCGCTTGCCTTTCAAATTGTCTTGTCAGTTGCTCTTATCCTTAACAATTAGAAAAGTGGTTTTCACCACAGGTTTTTATATTATAATTAAAACGAATAGCGCAGCCAAAACTAGAACCTTGAGTTCATGGTTTCCAAGCAAAATGCTTTCCATTCCACTGAAGGATTTCCATAACGTTACGTGAGTCAACCGTGACGTTTCATTTTTCATACAAAGGGTTCTTCAGGTCGTGCAAACACTTTCAAAACGATCTGTTGCATGTTGTAGAGGTACACGTGGGAATCACTCAAGTGTAGTTCATTTTTACTGCACGCTTCTGAGAATACTAAAGAACGGATGTACGATACATTAATGATTCGGATCCCACGGTGACAAAATGTTGCATTCTGCAGGACGTTACTTGTATAGCACTCTCGAAGCTTCTTCGCAAGGGCTGTATTGAAGCTTGTGCTCTTCCAGGGGCTTAACCACGGTGTAATTTTCACAGAAGCAGCTTCGAGTCATCATCCTCTATGAGTAGCGCCGCGGCAAAGGAGGGAAGGCAGCTGCCAGCCACATCAATGGTGCACTGGAGGAGGTGGAAGACACAGCCTTTCTCCAAGCTGCCAAAGAGGATCCGGAAGCTACAAGTGCCGCTTTGTGACAAGATTCGAAGGTACTCAGCCGACAGTTGTCAACCGCCTGGAGACCATCGATTATCGCAAAGCTCGGACTCGGTGGGTCACTTATACCTTGTTGGATGGCACGCGATGTAACCGGCTACCCACTTCTCAGTTCCGCTTCTCGCCCTCGTCAAAAAAGTTTCTAGGAGAATGTGTGTGTGGAGGATAGATGAGTAGATATGGAACATGGGTTCTCTACGATTCCAACCCACACAGTACTGTGTGACTGTCTCGAGGAGAGAGAAGACTCATCTTAGCGGGTGAAAACCAGCATGCAGCGCAAGAACTCCTGTGCTGCTCTCTGACGAAAGGAACACCGTACAACGAGCAGCTCTTGTGGGAACGCGCGGTTATTGCTACCATACAAGGCACTCCAGCTCCGAGAACCCGCGCAAACTGTCCAAGTAAGGTGACCGAGACTGGCTTCAGGACACTTCCTTCGTGATGGCGCGGTACACCACCCTATTATTGAGTCCTACCAACAATTTAAAGAGCCAAGCTTCAAGACCGTACCGCCCACCACATTCTCGTGACATAAGTGCCTTTGATTACTATTTGTTCCCTCGAAGCTTTCCTGGCTAAGGAAACTTCCAGCAAGTGCGATGACACCCGTCGAAAATCACCTACTTTTTCGACTTGCAGCCTTCCCAGTTGTAAGAGAGGAAATTGCTGACCTGCTTATAAAGATGAACACTGTAGTGGCTAGATATGGTCGCTACAGTGTTCATCTTTATGAGCAGGTTCTTACAACTGAGAAGGCTGCAAGTTGAGTTAGAGAGAAAAGAAGAAAAAAATCACAAAAATCACAATCTTTCGACCAGCCTTATAATTTTTTTGTGTTTACATAAGGAAATCTTCTGTTCAAATAAATTCTGAAATATCTGAAAGCACGCAGATCTTCTGTCCGGAGAGTAGGGGCGCTTTCTACCGCCGAGTTCGTCGTGACTGCAGGACTTTTTCGCCCTCTCGGCATTCCCAGAAGCGCGCAGCAAAAACCAACTAAACTATTGGTGCACCCTGCATACCTCAACAACATGCAATAAATCGTTTGAAAACCGGCTCTGAAACCTGGGAGACCTCTATTAATGGGGTTCCCTGAGACCTCATATCGGGTATCACATGAAAAAGGAGCTCTCAAAAACTGGTAATGGTCAATGACGCGCGCTTTACACTAACCTCTGGCAGTACTTACTAGTCGTACTTTGGTGTACGTCGAGTAATTCTGACTCTATTGAACTATTCCTACCCCGTCTTCCGAAATTAGGCTGGTTTTTTCACCAAACTTTTCCTACGAGGGTAGATCTGCTGAAAAATTGCTTCCAGGGTACTTCTACCTCTGACACGAATATCACATCCGCTTAGAGCGGAACTGCCTGGCTCCCAGCCACAGGCAAAAGCGCCAAAATAGCCTAAATCACCAAATTCGCAAAAACTTGTCACAAGGGTTAGTTTTCCTGCACATTAATATCACATCCGCTTGGCCCAAAACCGCCTGGCGTCCGCGCCATAGGCGCCGGCGCCAAAATACCCTCGATTACCAAAATCGATGAAAACTTATATACGAGGTTATTTGACACCTTGATTACGAATATGACATTTATTCTCGGTGCCGGCGCTAATGGAGGACGCTACGATCATCTTAGCAGAGCGCTAAATGGTTCTTGTATCGAAAAAAATGCCATATTCGTAACCGGGCAGGAGGTGGTGTAATGACAAGTGGCGCGCTTACCACTCGCGCGGTCCTGGGTTCAAATCCCAGGTCGACTCCCGCCCAGGCCAACCAAGCCTTCTACCCTCCGGGGACGGTAAATTGGTACCAGATTCGTCTGGGAGGATAAGAACACTGACTTGTACATCGGCTGGCCCCCGCAAGTCATTGTATAGGCCACATCGCATTCAATAAGCCACTACGATTCTGAATGGAAGTAGAATGCGTGCCGCATCCCACAGGATTGATCAACGGCGAAGACTTTATCCTTTATCTTTTTCGTGACCAGGGCATCGAACAACCCTATTGCGCAAGTTTTTATCGATTTTGGGAAAAGGTGTCAAGTGGCGTCAGCGTCAAAAAGTAATTTATGTTTGTGATCGGAGCTACGAATGACCCCATATTGTCCCGGATTCATCAATAAAATCTTTTGGAGTTTTTGAGGTAGGATTATTCAGTAGTGCCGTGATTCTTTGCAGGATCAATGACATGACATAACAAGCGACACGATATTGATTTTTCGCGTCAGCCTTATCGTTATCAGGTGGAAGATCGTTAGACCACAGCGTAGCCTCGGCTGTTATCAAATGTCACACGAATCGCACCACGCTTTCCGATAGCGCAACCGTGATGGATGATTTTAAGACCATCGAATACACGTCATTCCTTGACAATTTGTGAAATCAG